ATGTTACCACAGTTTTAGAATGTAATTGAGCGTTTTTTTCGGAAGTTCTGGATATTAGCATTCTTGGAGCACTGTGAAACAGGCGTTTTACCGCCAAAGAGGGTTGAATGTGCTTAACAAACATAACTTAAATTTAAATTTGACCTATACCAACTACAGTTATCACAACTGCCGTACTGATGAGGTCCAATTGTGGTAATGGTAAGAAATGTATACGACTTGATGGATCGAAACATTTCTTACCATTATAATAATTTTATCGAAATAATTTTACTACTTCTATCAATTTCTTATTTATTAATTTCCTCTTTTCTATTAAAAAAACTACGATCCCTTATTATCGAAAAACCGAAATATACGTGTAAACAAAATTCTCTCAATGGAAATATGCATTTTCACACTTCAATAGTTATCATGGAATGCCGCTAATTCATGATTCTGGAGGCTGTACGAAGTGAAAAGCTGTAGTAGTAGCAGTTCTCGCTTACCATTTGAAATCGATGCAGCACTTCGGGTCTCCTCTTCGGATTCAGCAGTTGCAGCTGGTGACATTCGCTCATCATCATCATCATCCTCGCTTTCATCCGAATCCGGCTGCGCCTCTTTCACCACCTCACTGCTAGCGTCCGATCCTGAAACAAATACTGACCCATCACTTTTTCTCTTAACTTTAGTTTTCTCCTGAATCTTCACTTTTACAGCTTAGGGATGAAACACATCAGACAGGCTACCAAGTCACTGCTGCGCATAAAGGCTTGCTTATTTGGGAGATCTAAATGGCACTACTTCCGCTGTGTTTTCGCATTAATTATCAAAATTCGATTGTGTTCCTCTCTCCACACGGTGGTGGGCCAGTAGATGCCAAACAAACTGCATATGTTAACACATCGAAGATTTCAGGCCCTCGTCCTCATCCAGTCTCCTAGCCAGGGATATTCAGTGTTTGTATCTTTAAGATTTCTACAGTATTTATAATAGTTTTTCGGAGCTTTGCAAAAGGCATCGTGGTGCTAATAATCGAAAAGCGAAGGAAATTTTGCTGCTCCTTCTGCCAGCAAGCGATGGACGAAGTGGTGTACTGGTGAGTGCACCAGTGAGAAAGGAAACGACCGCTTGGGCAATGCAGACAAGTGATGAATGTGTGCGTATCGCAGGCTGCTCGAATAGATGAGATCGTAACAAAGCGGCAAGATGACACCCCCTTTCCTGCAGAAAGCCACGAAAGCAGAATTCCATAAAATCTCAACCAGAAAATGCAACAAACAGAAGTTTCTGTCCAATAAAATTTCGCTGAGGGACCGAATCAGTACGCAGCGGAAAATCGGTTTCAAAAAAAGCCGATTTTGGAAGTATGCAAGTGGGACAGGGCTGGTGGGAAGGAAGGAAAAAGCACTTAAGGAGAATGAGGGATCCTTCGCTGAGAGAGGGGGACCACCACGGAGGGAGGAGAGGAAGGCAT